AAGTCTACTAAAACCTAAAAATAGTAACAGGCAATCTTTTCTTAATTGGTTCCAAAAATGTCAAATGTGCATTCGWTTTCCTTCAAGTTCTGTGGCTTTGATTATTTCTTTTTTAACCAATGCTTTGCTTACATACAAAACCAAAAGTCTATCTGTGTACACTATCTTTTGAGGGACTGTGGCTTTATTGGTCAATGTGTCTACCTTGTAAATAAGAGAAACTGGGTTCATATCCCAGCTGTACATAACAGCAAAACAGAAGTATTAAAWCTTTGTCCTCCTTCAGTTTGATGTGAAATTTTAGGCATGAACATTTTCCTCATGAAGCCTTTCAGTAATAGCAGTTCCTATGTCTAATAAAAACTACGGATAGCAACATGCTTTCCTTTGGTTATTTTTTCCAAAAACCATCAAAGTTGCATTTGTTTTCCTTCAABATCTGTGGCTTTAATTATTTTCCTTTTTATGGATGCTTTCATGACATGCAAAAGCAAACATCTTCCTGTGTATACAATCCAACAAGGTACTGTGGCTTAGTTGGTCGAAGTGTCTGTCTTGTAAACAGGAGGTCCTGGGTTCAAATCCCAGCAGTACCTGAATGCAACTTAGTGTTATTAAAGCTGTTATTCCAACTTCAGGTACATCTCAGAGTTGCGTATTAAATATCCCTCAGCTTATGATTAGTGATAGTTCTGAAGTCTTCTAAAACCTATTAATATTAACATGCTTTCCTTGGGTACTTTGTTCAAAAAACCATCAAAGGTGCAAAAATTCTCATTCAAGTTTTGCTGTTTTGAATTTTTTCTTTTTACTAATGCTTTGTTGACATAAAAAACCAAAAGTCTACCTGTGTTTACAAGTTTACACGGTACTGTGGCTTAGTTGGTCAACGTGCCTGTCTCGTAAACAGGTGATCCTGGGTTCAAATCCCAGCAGTACCTGAACGCAAGTTAAAATTGTTGAAGCTTTTATTCCAACTTCAGTTAGATCTTATACTTATGTGTTAAAAAAAAGCCCTCATAATGCGTATTATTACTTTTAGTTCTTAAGTCTACTAAAACCTATTAATATTATTATGCTTTCCTTGGGTACTTTTGTCCAAAAACCATCAAAGGTGCATTAATCCTCCTTCAAGTTCTGCAGCTGTGATTAATATTCTTATTACTAATGCTTTGTTGACATAAAACACCAAAAGTCTACCTGTGTGTACAATTTTCCACGGTACTGTGGCTTAGTTGGTCAAAGTGCCTGTCTAGTAAACAGGAGATCCTGGGTTCAAATCCCAGCAGTACCTGATTGCAACTAAGAATTATTGTAGCTGTTACTTCAACTTCAGAAAGATTTTATACTTATGTGTTAAAAATGCCTTCATAAACCCTATGATTAATTGTAGTTCTGAAGTCTACTAAAACCTATGATTATTAACATATTTCCTTAGGCACTTTTTTCCAAAAACCATCAAAGGTGCATTAATGCTCCTTCAAGTTCTGTGGTTTTGATTGCTAATCTTTTTACTAATGCTTTGTTGACATACAAAACCAAAAGTCTACCTGTGTATGTAGTTGAAAACGGTACTGTGGCTTAGTTGGTCAAAGTGCCTGTNCTTTTGACACTAAATTACCGTATTCAAACCGTAGTTTACAACACAGCGTTTCAAAAATCGACAAGCAATAGCTTCTCACTATGCTAGCGATACAGCTTAGCTTTTAAGCTGACGGGTCGGACCGGAAGTTCCGTGTTCAACCTAATATATCCGTCCTCTGTCCGTTCTAGCGGCTCGGGGTTAAAACTGCACGAAACAGCGTTTGGACTCACCCAAAATTCTCTGAAGCTTATCAAACAACTGATCGCAGTTTAATCGGTCGCTCAGGGCGCCGAAAATTACTTTTTCGCCGTTTATCGAGACGTACCGTTCGGTTCTTCGTCCCGGAAGTGGTTGGAGCTAACGTTGTTAGCCTGTGTTACACTCAAACTCTTCCCCGTATTTCGTTTTATTAATTTATGAGTTCTTAAACTCATAAATGTTAGCGAAAATACAAAAATAAGATGTAAACTGAGTTCACAGATTATATCTTATCGGTAAATAGCGTTTCGCTATTTATAAGAGCTGAGCTTATAATATTTCCATTTCAGGAAGTGACCTCATTAACTTCATAAACCGTAAAATGCTTAATTTTATCAGTTTCCATGTTTAAACCTTTATTTTACGACCCAAAATGACAGAATAACAACAAAATCTGCAGCTTTTTGCAATGATCTGAACACCTCAGTCATAAAATGGGTCTTATAGCATCATTGTGTTTGCCAACAGTAAGTAATAATTTATATTACTTCTTCAATGCACAGAGATATGTTTTCATGAGAAAAATATTTTAAAATGGAGTTCACCATTCAGGGATCCTGTATGGGAATTGTACGTGCCACCATTTGTAAAAGATGAGTTATTTATGCAAATAACTTACCTTACACTTCTCATAACAAAGTTATAAGAGTAATTTTTACCAAGGTTTTACTCATTACTCTAATATTTGTCAGTGCAAAGGGAAGTGACACAATGAGGGAACTCAGACTGTTCAAGTTGATTCATAAAAGATTATGCAATCATTTATTTACACAAATTGAACAAAATCATAAATTACAACTGATTGTGAGCTATTTATGATAAGCGTCTAAGTTAAAATGAGGTAAAACTCGCGTCCGAATTTCTTTCACATTAAAACTCAGATTACCTATATATAAACAGTAAAATGTCAGTTCTGATGTTAAAACTGAAAGATTTGCTGGCACTTCACTTGGG